CACTACACATCCATATGTTCTTGCATTTTTAAGGTCCTGAACTATATCTCATAGGAAAACTTACTATAAAATTTGTTTTATACTTAATCGAATACTTATTTCCTACAAAACTGTCAGGTAAATAAACTAATGTATCATGTTAAATAAGGTGTGAAAGGAGCCGCTCCCTAAAAAATAGTATTATTTTAGAATCACAGAATCAGTTAGGTTGGAAAAGACCTCTAAGGTCATCAAGTCCATCATTAACCTAACACTGCCAAGACCACCACTAAACCATGCCCCTAAATGCCACGTCTACACATCTTTTAAATACCTCCAGGGATGGTGACTCCACTACTTCCCTGGGCAGCTTGTTCCAATGCTTAACAACCCTTTCAGTGAAGAAATTTTTCCCAATATCCAACCTAAACCTTCCCTGAAACAACTTGAGGCCATTTCCTCTTGTCTTGTCATTCCTTATCTGGGAGAAAAGACAAACCCTCACCTCCCTACGACCTCCTTTCAGGTAGTTGTAGAGATTGATAACATCTCCCCTGTGCCTCCTTTCCTCCAGGCTAAACAACCCCAGCTCCTTCAACCTCTCCTCATAAGACAGGCTCCAGACACCACCTTTGCTGCCCTTCTCTGGATGTGCTCCAGCACCTCAGTGTCTATTTTGTTGTGAGGGGGCCCAGAACTGGACACAGGACTTGAGGTGTGGCTTCACCATTGCTGAGTACAGGGGAATGATCGCTGCCCTGGTCCTGATGGCCACACTATTCTTTGCACAAGTCAGGATGCCCCAAGCCAGTAGCACTGCATGGGGTTGTTGTGGTCCAAGTGATGATGTATTTACGAAAACATTTTTATTGTCTTTTATGGCAGTAACAAGATTAAATTCTAGTTGGGCTTTGGCTTTTCTAATTTCTTCCCTGCTTAACCTCATTATATCCTTGCAGTCCTCCTGAGTTGCCTACCCTTTCTTCCAAAGCTCATTTTAACAGACTTACAGTAAAATATCCTGCTGAGCATCAGATCTTTGGTCTTCAGCAGTTCAACTCTTGGACCCCTCTTGAACTAAAGTGTTTGTCAGTACTACCAAATATACCAGAGCTGAATCAACATTTTTAAAATGTGTTTCTAAAATGCCAAAACAGATTTGAAATAGAAGATGAGAGACTTAATGCAAACAAAGAAAGACATTAACAAACCCCCAAAATGGGATAACATTTTGGAGAGAGAAAATGAACCAGTGAAGAATGGAGGAATGGTCTTACAGATGGAGAAAAAGAGGTAAGGGATGGAGAGGGAGACTGAAAGGAAGAAATATCAGGTAGCAGGGGAAGAAAATATGACAAAGTTTATAGTGATTAGAAATACTGCATGAAATATGAAAATCAAGAGAAAGAAACAATAATAAGCTCAGGAAATAATCTTCTAAGTAAATCAAGAGCAGTCTTATGGTTTCAAAGATTTGCAGTATAATAAATTAGATATCCTCTAATATGCCATATGGGGTTTGAGATCATTAAATTCACATTTCAGTGCTTTCCATCTAGAAATGTCCTTCTAAAATAATAAAAGTTAATAGCTTTCACATAGAAATATGAATAGTAACTTTAAGAAAAAAGCAATTGTATTGAGAGATACCAAGGATAAATGGGGGAGGAGGTAGAATAACTTTAGGAAGAAAAGGAAATGAAAAGGTATGATGTTGCTTCTGGAAAGAAAATATCCAATCACAATTGAAGAACTGCCACCCAAAATAAATTCTTTTTTTCCTGATGTTTTCAGTGACTATTCATTGGGTTCCATGTTAATCTTCTCAGTTTCTCTGATGTTTTTCAGACTTATTAAATATTCACAAATAAATATTTCTGAAATATCTCTCTGCCAGGTGTGTGGAGGAAAGAACACAAAGGAGAAGATGTAAAACTGCTGCAAGAAGTGTGAAGAAAAGGATTCACAGAGATGAGGGAGAAAGGGAACAAGGAATGAAGACTGCTTGCAGGCAAGGGGCAGACAACAGTAGAAAAGCAGTGTCAATATTAATACAACTTAATTTTTTTATTAGAATGCATCGTTTATTTACTGTCTTACTGCTATTTTATATTGTCCTAGAATTTAATCTATTGCAATTTTGGGGGGAAAAAAATGCAAAATTCTTCTGTGATATTACATCTGAAATCACTTGTATTTAAACAGATAAATTGCTTCTGTGTGGGATTTAGATGAACAGGCATCCAGGATATAAAAATAAGGTTTTTGTGAATCTATTATACTGAAAAATATGAGATAGGTGAAATCTACAACAGGGACTCAGCTTATCACACAAAGGGCCTGTCAAAGGGCAACTCTCTCATATTAAGTGAAATTGTTGTCTGCTTACAGTCTTTGGGCAAAGAGAGTAGAAGAGAATGTGTATACCCCCATTACTTGTAGGTCAACTGAATTCAGCTATTAGAGACACCTCGTAAAAAGTGAATAACAGCACTTAAGCCAAATGTTGTGAAAAATGGCGTTTTCACATTTCATGTCTATAGCCATTATACAAGGATGCTTTTAGAGACATTTCTAAACTTTCAAAGATAAAAAAAAAAATCACACCCTGTGGCTACATGAAATCCAGACCATTTAGAGGATTTCTTAGAGATTTACCATTTCTCAGTCATGCGTAAACATGGAGAGCTGCAAAGACACATCTGTTATGGTTCTATGCTACTGCATCCTGCTGCAGTTTCTGGCTCATTTTATCCTAAATTTTAGTCTTTTCTTGTTAAATGATGCAGGAGAACCTATCATGTAGCAGCAACTCCAAAGGTTTTTTGAGGTGAATTCATAGAGCAAATTTCCTGCAGGTTCCCTAATGGATCTCTAGTTTCTTTCAGTAATTACTTTGCCTGTCAGTCACCGTATGATTAAATAGCTACCTGTCTGTGGCATCTCGAACCCTTGAATCTGACAAGAGGTGGTTAGGGAAGTTAGCTCGGAAAATAGTTTAAAACAAACCACTCCAAGTACCACATCAGTTGTCAGTGGTCCTCTGCAATCTTCATTAAAAGGACAGCAGGAGATCAGATATTATAAGACTATTGCAAAGTTATGCAGGTTATTTTTAATAACCCCATCACGCATAACAGTTACTGGGTAAGGCAAACGCCATCACTCCAAACATGCCCTCCTCCCATTTCCCCTCAGCTCTATATACTGAGCATGATGTCACATGGTATGGAATATCTTTTTGGTCAGTTGGGGTCAGCTGTCTCAGATGTGTCTCCTCCCAGTCTTCCTTGCACCCCCAACTTCCTCACCAGTGTGGCAGTATGAAAAGCAGAAAGGGCCTTGGCCCTGTGAAAGCCCTGCTCAGCAATAACAAAAACATCTTTAGATTATCAACCCTGTGTTAAGCCCAAATCCAAAAAATAGCCCCATACTAGCCACTGTGAAGAAAGGTAACTCTACCACAACCAAAGCTAGCAGAGAATAACAAATGCAAATGACACTGTCCTGGAAGAAAAAGATGTTATAATTCAATAGAGCTTGTAAGTAGGAAGACAAACGCAGTCAAAAAAATTAACACGTCAAAGAATCTTTGTCTGTCAAAAGACAGACCATCCCTAAAAAGTTTAAGTAATATTTAATTTGCATTTTTCAAAAACCAAAATCTCAAGAAAATAGCACTTTTCCCTAATATTCTAGGGGAGAAAGGAAAGGGGAACACTCCTGGGAAATCTTTTTGGAAAAATGTTTATGCTCATGGACATGCAATTATCTCACATAAAACTGAAGGGAAAGGGACCCAGGCTGGGGTTCTATTTCTGAATGACAGGGCTTTCAGGAAGTGGTACTAGTTTGGTCCTTCACTTTCATAAGCAAGAGGTGCATCAGGTTGCCTAAGAAACAACTGGGACTATAATATGCCTGATGTCAATCTCACTGGACTCTTAATATCTCTTGGTGGATAAAATATGATAAGGTCAGGTGTATTTAGAAAATCTTTCCACCACCGACGAAGATTAGTTTGAAAATTTCACCTGTATGTTCTTTTTCAAAGAACAGCATGAATTTTCTCAGTGCATTCCTCATTTCTGTTTTTCGTTTTCCCCAGTAACAAACCTGTTCAAGCCAGCATGAGTTGTGTGCAAGTTTCGAGCTGGCTTCCAATCAAGTCTCCAAAACTCAACGACAGAGCCTGCTTCCCAGAGAGGGAAGGAAAAAAAACCAAACAGCCAAAGCTATAGCAAAAAATATATATTTTACATATAAAACAGATATATACAGTGAGAATACTATATACATATAATCCCAGAAACCCCAAACAGCTTCCTAAAAGGGAAGAGGAGAAGGGAGAAGGGAAAAAGGACAAAAAAAAAAGGACAAAAAGGGACAGAAACAAAACAGGTATGCACAATCTAAAAACTCAGTAACCAGCAAACTAAAGAACTGGCAAAATCTCACCACTTCCCTTGAGAAAAGCAGGACAGCCAGACTGTGGCCCAGCACTCTCCCCTCCCGCAGCGACCCAACAACAGCAGTCGGTACAGGCCTCCACTTCAGATAAGCAAGACCATGTAGGCATCTACTGTTCTTGAACCTTGCAGGAAAAGAAGAGAGCGAGGTCTCTCCAGTGGGCTTTATTTATACCTCAGGTTACGTAAAGGAATAGCATGGAATACTTCCTTGGTCACCTCCCTAGTTCCTTCCTGGTTACAAGCTGGTCTCCAGGAAGGCCTAGGGTGAAAACTATCACAGTTGTGACTTTCAGCAGCCTCAGTCCATGTACATTTCAACACAGACAATAAACTGAAGCTGAAGCTGATGCATACCATATCACAAAATCACAGAATCAATTAGGTTGGATAAGGTTCGATAACCTCTGAGGTCATCGAGTCCAACCTATGATCGAAGATCACTACGTTAACTAGACCACAACACTAAGTGCCACGTGCAGTCCTGGTATGTTGACTCCACCACCTCCTTGGGCAACCCATTCCAATATCTTATCACCCTTTCTCTCCTACCTCAACCTCCCCTGGTGCATCTTAAGACTATGTCCTCTTGTCCTGTTGCTAATTGCCTGGGAGAAGAGACCGACCCCCATCTGGCTACAACCTCCTTTCAGGTAGTTGTAGAGACTAATATTATCTCCCCTGAGCTTCCTCTTCTCCAGGCTAAACAATCCCTCAGCCAGTCCTCATAAGACTTGTACTCCAGACCCTTCACCAGCCTCGTTGCCCTTCTCTGAACATGCTCCAGAACCTCAATGTCCTTCTTGTCATGAGGGGCCCAGGACACAGGACTTGAGGTGCAGCTGAGTACAGGGGAAAAGATTATGTTCTCCTGTTGCCACGTCCCAGAACAGTTCAACTTTTTCCACAGCAACATTTCAACTAGGAACTCACTACAGCTGCACTAATATTCTCCTGGGTCTATTTTTTTTTTTAGTTTGGTATCATGATGATGTGACTAGAACTTGCTTGTGGCTCAGTTTTCATTTTGTTGTATGTCCTGGCATATAGTTCTTACTTACCTCAAATGGACAGGTTTGATAGTAACAGCTTAAATTATTTTCCAGTAACAGACATAGACATGACACCCCCAATATAGACTTTACAAAGTCCATCAAAATTACCAGAATCCAGGTCTTCTGAGCCTTATTGCTGTTTTTAGGAACAAAAAGCAGACTAGAACACTAGCAGATGCCAGTTCCTGCTGAGATGCATTTGCAAATGGATATTCATAATAGCCAAATCAATTTAAGCAGGTGCTGCTGTATTAGAAATTTAGCAATCATTGGGATTCTTTTTTTATTTTTTGTAAATTGAAGTTACTAAATATTATAGTTCAAACAAAAAAGCTTTAAATTAAATTTCAGGATATTGAGATGATATTGGAGACCCTCAAATTTTTATTATCCTTGCTATAAAGCAAGGGAACATCTGCTAAAAAGAAAACCTCAATAAAGATTTCACCCAGACAAAAGTAAACCTTTTCAAAACTGCAATTACTAAGCAGTATGAGGAGACAGCAACTAGCAGTGACCCAGCTCCACAGGAAATGCGTAAATAAAGATCTTTGTAAGTAGATGTAGGAACACTTTAGAAGAAAGATAAAAGGTCATCACAAAATGCAGATAACTTCAGAGACATACCATTATACAAATCTCAAAACTAAGATGACAGGAATGTTTAACAGATTTCTCTTTAAAATGCCATTACAAGTTCCACAATGCTCAGCATTAACTTCTAACACTTGCAAATCCCATAGTCTTCATTGAACTTCTATTTTTAATGTTGAAAATATTATCCTAAATACATTTGTCAGTCCTAAAGATCTCCATTGAAAAATGTTATTTGGTATAGCTTCAATGATATACTAAAATATACATTTTAGTGCTTATCTTATCAGAACACCTATAATACCTGATATGCCAGTAAAAACAGTAAAGTTTTATTTTATCCACAGTTAATATCACAAAATTAGACAGCATGAAAGAATGTGGAAAGCTTAGCCTCTTAGTCCTCAGATCTGCTTTATATGCAGCTGCAGAAAATCCCACTACTCTAGAATGTGAATTAAAATGCCAAAGAGTTCCCTGATACTCTTGGTACCAAGTTCTAAGATCTGGGATTTTTTTCCCTTACTTTTCTGTTTCATCTGATTACATAGATCTTCCACAAAAAATCTAGCAGGATTCTCTTATCTTTTGAAGTTGCCATGTCTGGCTAACTTCATTATTGAATGGCCAGCATGGCTGTCCTTCAGACCTGGGAGAAAAAATAAAAAGAAGGATATTTGAAAAATCAAATGAGAATTTTACACTAGTTCAGTAGATTTTAAAATTGACCCAGACAATCAAAATCTAAGAGCAGTAATAATATAGATTTAAAATGACCCATCTTCCCTAATAACTTGTGCGCAAATTTAATGAGCTATACATCAAAGAGATTATTCTGATACCTTTAACTCTGCTTATTCTAATACCTTCAAAATATTACTTGTGGAAGTGGCTGTAGTACCTGCAATTAAGATTGCTTAATGCTTTGAAGGTGTACCAGCCACATTACACAGCTGAAGTTAGAAGCCTGGATCACTAATGGACTCAAGCAGGAATTGGCATCCTGCTTTGTGTTCTGGCTATACACAGAATCTAGACTGTTAGATGAGGTCCCTAAATACTATGTGGTGTGAATACTCCCTCCTTACTTTAACTTGCTTTAAACTCTTGTTATTAGTAGAGATTGGTCATAGTTTATTCATAGGGTTTTGATACTCAGTTTCCTTCCATCTCAGGCTGAGAGGCTCTGAAATACTGGGCACCTTAAGATGCACATGCATTTCACTCAGGCAAAAGAGTGAATGAAAAGGGATCAATATTTAATTCATAGTACTTAAAGAGAATTTGTCTGATAAAATACAGAAAGATCTAGTCGTTCCCGAATATCCTATTTAAACAAACTGTCTAATGTAGTCATATAAACACTGTTACTCACTGACACAAAAATTGGTCATAGTCTTGAATTTCTATGATTTTGGCCCATGTTTCTTCCTCTTCCTGAAGTCAAGTTAAGGCCCAAAGACACTGACTGAAAAACTACTGTTTAATGCATTCACAGTTCCATGCTGGTGATTACGTGGTACATTTACTGGTATATTTTGCTTGGGTTTGACAGAAGTTGATTGGAGTTTGCTTTACATCAAAAAGATTTTGCTAACGCCTGTACAGTAAAACAAAACTGTTCTAATAATCTTTCTATGCATTCAAGCATTTGCACAGTATTCAGATTGGCAGTACCAGGTTTCATATTAACTAAAGAACCTGTGTTTTTTGACTGCCTTTAGGGTCAGCTGGAGAGAAAACAATTGAACCTCTCTGTCAGCAGCAGACGGGTTTCTTTGAGACTTTTAAAAAATCTATCCACTACTGATTTGTTGGCTTTAATGAGGGTTTCACTTGATTAACAAACTCTCTATAAAGACAAAGCATGAGTTTGCCAAGGAAAATAAGGTGATAATCATACCAATAAAATACCTCCTCAATATGGTGTTCAAGAACCACCTAAACCTGGTATTAGGTTTATTCCCTTTAAAGAGTTTCTTCTAGAGAGTCTAAATTGAATTACATCTATCAAAACATTTTGATACAATAAAACTTGGAGACAATTTAAAAGCACATATAACGATCATGTAGAACATAAAAACTTAAAACAGCTATCAGAATATTTCATATGTGTTTGTTGCATAAAAAGGAAATAAATGGGAGAATAAGGGATTACAAAGTGGATACTGTCATTTACATAGAAGTGATTATATTTTTGTGAACAGTGCATTAGTACCTTTGACAGATGGGTACCAGAAAAATTACTCATAATTTTGTCCAGCAAGAGTTACTTTATTTTAATGCGGTTTAAAATTGGAGCCTAACTGCATATTTCATGGCTATTATTGCAGCTCTTAGTCTGTTGCCAATTTTCTATTGCAACAGCCAAGCACTAATAACTCCCACCATGGGACATTTTCTTTGGCCATAATAACTTCAGTGTATAAATTTGCATAGGCTAAAATAACACTGTGCCTCTGTTTCAACAAAATATTTCTGAGCATAACAAATTTTATGCATGTTTTCCAATTTATTTTTTTTTTAATGCTAGCATGTGATTAGTTTCTTTGCTGAATGTGGTCCTTGGGTAGATTAAAAGTATTTTTTTTTTAGTCCTTTGGTTTTTTCACTATTTCCAAGATAAAGCATAATGCAGAAGATTATACTTCCCTCAGAGAAAAGCAATTCACTCTTATCAAAGTCATTTCGGAAGAAAAATCTAAGTGATCAAAACCAAAGTCAGAACTTGTTTTTCTCAGAGTGAAGTTTTGCATTTAAATGGGGAGTTATATATTTGTAAAGAACATGTGGTGTGTATGGAACAGTCATTTCATATCTTTATAGAATGTACTGCAGATGGATGAGATACTTTACTGGCAGAATTAAGCAACGTTGCTTCTCAGAAACTTGAAATCCATTATATACTTAAGCACTTAAACTGTCCTAGTCTTATCTTGGTAAACTTGACATGACTTGGTATGGAGAGAGGTGACATTATGTAAGATGGAAGAAGGTTACCAAAAGTCTCATGAAGTTGCTTATTTTTTATTTGCATTCATTGCCGATGAATCAGTGTAGTCAGTGAAAGTAATGGCAAATATTCCATTGACTTTAATGGGATGGAATTTCAGTGACATGTTTTTGTCAGTTCAAAGTAAGTTTCAGATAGAAAGATGTGTCATTGTGGCAGAGATTGAAAGAATGATAAAAGATTGATAAGACTACAAAGTAGAAAACTCAGAAAATAGGAAAGGTTAGAACAGAGATAGCTTTTACAATTGATAACCTTAATAATTTGATATAACAGTCTTAATAATATTATATATTACATAGTTACATTATCATAATTGTGTCTGGATTCTTACTTAATTTTGGACAGGAGCTAGATTATGTTCTGGGGATGGGTTAGGCTGTGTCAACCTGAATGTTTTAGACATAATATAGTTATACACAACAAAAGGCAAGTTATTATAACAAGAAAAATGAGATAATTTCAAGTACAATTGTTTTCCCTACTAACTGCCTAAAGTTATAAAACAGGATGATTGACAGCAAACCAATATATACTATAAAGAACTTATTTTCAGTCATATATATATACACATGCATTTTATGCCACTAAAAACATACCTGGTTCCATTTGGAAACTGAGAGACCTGTTCCATCTTGTCCTTTAAGCTGTTTTCAAGCAAAAAGGTTTTTCTCCTTAAAGAGCTTTTCTTTGAAAAGTAATTACTCTTCTGTGAGTGACAAATCTGAAAAAAAAATTGTCATTTTGCAGTACTCAGAGAAAATAAGCATCTCAACTTTTTTTTCCAAAGCATGAAACTGTCATTTTCCCCACTCAGATAGTTGTAAACCAGAAAGATTTAACTTTATTAAACTCCTTCTTCAATCAAAGAAAGGAAATAACCTTGGCATTGAAAACATACTTGAGTAAAGGTCATCCAAACAAGCAATAATTTTCCATTTATAAAAGCCTCAAAATAGTGGCTTAAGAGAAAAACATCCCTTGACCATTCCGACGACCATTGTAATTGCATTATACATGTTATTTTCAAAACAGTGTATGGCAATCATATTGAAGTTCTGCCTAGAGGTAAAGAGGGTAAAATTGTGGTTCCTGGTGAAATCAGTAGAAAACCTGTTCTTCATTTTTCCCTTCAAAAATTTACTGATCTTGGAATTGTGCACTTGAGACAGGCAACACCATTTTGCTTTCTGTCTTACCTGGTTCTTGAACTCCTGAATCAATCAGTGTTGGGACAACTTCTGAGTAGCACTACAGCAGAGGGAAGTGACCAGAAGACGCCTTGCAGTTAATGATGCCTCTGTTATGGATTCAAGAGAAGAATAGGAATTACATGAGCTAAATAACTTCCACAGCAGGTGTCTGTAATAAAAAAAAAAAAAAAAATAAAAAAAAATTGAACCTGTAGATTACCTATTGCACACATTTTTGATCCCAATATATTCCCAACATCATGTGTTAAAATGAAGAGCCTTAAAAGACTGAAAGCCACTATAATGGACTGATGTAAGAGAGAAAATCAACAGTATGACTAGTGCCCCATTGCTGCTAATTTGAGAATATTTGGGTAAACTGCTAGCACTGAAACTAACCTGTTTCAGTAAATCCATCTCTTTCCCTGAGCCACAAACAGGAGATGGCAACCATCTTCATGCCCTAAGATGACAATCTGGGCACAATCTCAACCTGAAACCAAAGTGCTCTGGAGAGATAAGGAATTCATATCTGAGTTTAGGGGTTCACTGGCTTGTCTTCAGTGCTATATTATTTAACATTCACAGCCCAAAGTAAACCCATCTCTGATCCTTTTGAGTCAGTGAAAATGTTTTAGGAATACATACAAATGGAGATTACTTTCAAGTAAGTTCAGCTTTAGCCAGAAGGGTTGCTAAGGGGATTTATGTTGACGACACCTAATTTTTTTCTCCCAGGACAGCAAATGGAGAAAGATAGTCCTCTCTGAGGACAGTCTGAGTTTAGGCTGAATAAAATGACAATGAACAACACATAATAAAAAATTATCTGTTGACTTGTAGCAGAGGCAACAGCTCTTAGGAGAGACCATAATTTTCTCAGGCCCTGGAGCTCTAGTGAAGTAGTAGAAAAATGGTGTAGTGAAACCATGAGTGTGGTTTTATTCGAAAAAAAATCCACAACAAATCAATCTACTACAAGAGACACTGGTATGTGGAATAAACTGCTGGAACCATGCTGAAAAATCAGTAAATTGAAGTGTTTGAATTATTATTCAAACACTTCTTACGTTTCTCACAAATAATGCAAGTTGTTTATTGAGCTTTATATTGTGGGCAGACTTTAAGTGGTCAGGAGTGGTGGTTGTGGGGGCTCTGGGAGGAGAGGCCGGGCTGCCCCTGCCGGACACAGCCGGTTCCAGCCGGCTCTGACCCGCCCAGCGCGGGGCACGGCTGAGCCCACAGCAGAGGGGGGTTGCCGAGGGGAAGTGTATTTAAGAAAGAGTAAAAACACTGCACAGGCAGGAAGGAGTGAGGTGTGAAGCATCAGTGTGAACACCAAGAACAGTGAAGGAGGAGGGGGACGAGGTGCTTCAGGCGCTGGGGCAGAGATTCCCCTGAGCCCGTGGTGAAGTCCGTGATGGAGCAGAAATCCACACTGCAGCCCATGGGGGACTCCATCCAACCTGGCTTTGAACATTTTCAGGGACTGGGCAACCACAGCTTCTCTGGACAACCTATTCCAGTGTCTCAGCAACCTCATAGTGAAGAATTTCTTCCTAAAGACTATACAAAGAGAAGGTTTTGAGCTGCTGCATAAAGAAGTGAGTAATGACCTCTCTCAATGAATGAACTCAAAGTTCCTCTGAATACTCAGAGTTCCTCTGTGAAGTTACATGACTGATAAGATACTTTTTACATTAGCAAAATGATAATCTGATTTTTAGTTATGTAGATTATGTAATACACTCAAATAACAATCTTTTTGAGTTATAAATAGGACACGAGTTCATACATTCACAAATTTTTATTCTCTAAATCTGTGCTGATTAGAGTAATATACAAACAGATGGTAAGAGAGCATTTTAAAGGCATATTGTTAAAATAACTTCAGTTTGCAGATCCACAGGTAGGTTATCCTAACAAAATGTCCTCTATTCCAATACTTGCACTTAAAAAGAATCATTGAATAGTTTATTGTAGGACTCTCAATTGGAGCACATACTGTGGTAATTAATAAATCTATATAATGCCTCTTTATAGAGCAAAACAAAAAAATAAATTTGTCTTTTTAAAAATACAGCTTCATCCAAATGTATATGAGCTTGCCATAGTGTCTTTATAACCCACATTTTGGCTGTTCAGTGTGATGAATAATCCAAATTTTTTGCTGTTCAGTTTAATAAAACACTTCTGATAACCTCTTCAGGATGATGATTTGTTCTTTATGACAGATTGAACTGTTAAACAGAACTAGCTTAATCATAAATACTGTCAGGTGTATAGTTAGGGAATTGTCACCTTCCTCACATCACTGACTATTGTAATATTCATTCACACCACTGGAAACGAATGAAGGTGCAGATATTCCCTTAAAATTTTCTCAGTGCTGTCCAACCATAGATATGTATACGTTCACATGAAGGACAAACCTCGGATTTTAAGAAAGAGTAATCTAGACTACACAGATATCCTGAATCTATATAAATGCGAATACAAAAATGTAAATATAAACCAAACATGAATATCTGCTAAATAAAACCTTTCTGAAACTACAGTTGTGGTGGTGTTTCTTTTTTAGTTTAGTGAGATGTAGACATTAGAAAAATATGGAGCTTATCTTTCAAAATAATGACTGATGAGCAATGTTAATACTTTTGTATTGCTTTTATTTAAATTATATTTTTTACATAGTTCTAACCCAAATTACAGTGTGGCTTAATGTGATTTTAATAAACAAAATCTTTAATTTAATTTGGCATTGCAACAAAAAGGGTAAACTTGAAGTTGTAATGCACTAGGGGGACATGTAGGTAGATTCCTTCACAACACGATAACGTTTGAGTGGGAGACATTCTAATGATAGATTATTCAAAAAGTGCTGAACAATTTTCAGTAACAAGTTTCTGTTAGCAAAAGACTCACAGGATACCTTATTATGAATCAAAAGGTTGGTTAAGGAGAGTCATTTATTATTACAAGTCATTTCAGTAGTAAAAACAATGAAACTCAGGTGATATTAGAGTTTATGTGTTTTGTTTGCAGATCTCGTGCTGGAGTTGCATCATACCTGCATCAGGGCCATTAGAAATCTTTTGCCTGCTTATATAAGAATAAAAGATGGACAGTTACTGAAACCAGCATTACTGGGTTGCTCTGGTACCTGAATGGACTCCTGATGCAGCCCTGTCTGGACACATATTGAAGATTACTTTCTGTGAGTGGTTTCTGAAACCCTTCTTTTTTCATCTGTCTCAAGGAGGGCAACATGTTTCTTGGACCTGTTGACCATTGCACAATCTGTTGGGACAAGGAAAGGGTCTTGCCATTTGTGATACAGTTTAAAAATCAGATTCAGTGAAGAAATGCATCACCTTTCATCACATGCTACCTAAAAAAATCAGACCATGGAAGAAATATTTTACTTTAATAGTTTATTTTATTTGCAAATATTCAATATACAAAGATTGAATTCCATTGAAATGTAGTTACAGTACTTTTTTCTATACCACAATAAAATATAGTTGTGTTCCAGTATTGTTTATATTACTTTATGTTCAACTTCCCCAAATTTATTGTTACAATTTCAGAACAAATTCTCCACAATTGTACACAGGGAGGGGCAACATGATTCCTGTTAATAACCTTGATGCAATTGGCCTTTTCTTATAAACTATTTATTCATATTTTATAATTAATATTCTCTGGGGAAATTTTAAACCAGCTCTAGTAAGAATTCTCTATAACCATCCTTTTCCTTGAAACAGTGTTAGGTACAAGACAGGACTGGGGATAAAATGATTAGACATTTTTACTACTCAGGGTTGACCAGTTGAGACCTTAAGATCAACTTTCTGCCTGACATTTACCTGCACGTACAAATGGTCATCTGTTCTGCAAATCACAGCCTGAAGTCTTCGCAGGGCAACAAGATAAAAGGGTATAAGTTGATGGTCAGCTATGAAACATTTAGATTGAGGGACAATTTGTGCATCATGTAGAAAGTCTGAAGCAGATATGGGCCAGAATTCTCCCAGTTTGTTTTTTTTTCTTGCACAGCCTTGCTTCATTCATAATCCCTGTCTGATACTGAGGCAATGTTTCCGCACTGACCAGCTTAGTTCTCTGCACAACCCTAGCAATACCCCAGGTGCCATATATAATGGACTCACTCCTCAAAAACGTCCTATGGATCACATAATTAAACATTGTATTAAAAACATATAAAACACAAGATAATGCCTACAAGCAATATGGTCACTAAAATTCTGCACATTTAGTCTGTAGGATAATATAAGTGCAGACAGGTGCCTTGTGGTGCAAAGTATCTTTGGTAGGGATGTAATCATTGGATAATTTAACAGCTGTTCTTGAGTCTTGATAAGTTATGTGAGGAAAGTGGTTCTTTACAGAGGAAATAATTTTGCCATAAAAGGGGTGATCATCCCTAAAAGAATAAGATATCAAGATAGCGGGGCAAAATCAATGTTTCTAATGAAAAATCTGAAAGAATTATAGGTTCTGAAGTATAACTATTGCTGAATAATTTGTTAATGTGGGAAAATAACACACTCTACTAATCTCAGTCTAGAAAACGTTGAATCTCTTTTCCTAAAACTTTTCATTTTAAGACACATATCCAGCACAGGAAATTTCAGCCAGATCAGATAAGGATTAACAAAGTAAAGTACAAATGAAAGCAGGATGCTAGGATAGGAGGAACTAAGCAACCAAAATAGTAGTAGCATTGCATCAACAGATAATAACATGTCATACTTCATTCTGCAGATGAAAGTGAGGAGTTCTGTTTGTGCAGCTTTCTGCTGCGCCTTCTTGTGAGGTGTTTTTCTTTTCTCCCGCATATGCATTATTCCTTTTAACTTGTTAGAGAGCTCTCTCAGGCTGTGTTGGTTTGTATCATTATTTTCTCTGTACTGTTGAAATTCTCTGAAATGTAGAGCAGCTCTTTTAGGTGAATTTCGCATTACATTAAATAACCAAAATATATAGCAATGTAGTAGAATATAGACAAGGGGCAGATGCTGGGATAACTGAACTAGGGTCTTGGAGGTTATGGACTTATAAGCACAATAAAGGTTTGGCATTCTGAGTTTATTTTTCTCTATATATATTGCATATCTTGAAAAAGCATTCATAAAAGTCAAACAAACCAGTTCCTGAACTGGGAAGGGAGTTGTGCTGCACAAAGTTGATTGTTCCGGCCATCAGGCACCTTGGAAACGTGCTGAAGACACTTATAGAAGACATAAGTCTATGACTATAGAAATAAAGAACTCTCAGAAAAAGTTAAATACAGCCTCATGCAGTAAGGCTCTGACAGAACCTTTATTTGTAATAAAACTGCACATGTACACTTGACCATGTTGAGTGATAAATTGTAAATGTCTTCTATGGCTTTAGCATCAACTAACTAATGCTCTCCTTGGGTAATTCTACAATGCCCTTCAGGAGCTAACTCAGGCCATGGTGGCTGTTAGGGATTAGGAAACTTCTGCTGGAGGCCAAGACATAGTATAGACATAGTATAGACAAGGATAATCACAGTGTGACCAGGGCCGTGGGATTGAAGAAGAGACTTGGGGCTACAGGGTTTTCTGGGCTGCAGGAAGTCTGTATGCCTGCTGAAGATGTAAACCTGCAGAATGGAGCCCAAAACTCTGATATCTTCTGGAAAAAACAGTTGAACATCCTGTCATCCTACTGTGTTAATTCAGAGGTTTCTGTTTTACATATATATTTTTTCAATATATGCATTTGGTACAAACATTATATATGAAACATTTCTTACAAACTTTGTCCAAAATGGTCTCTGTTAGGGTCATCTTTTGAGTTATCTTTTCTGACTCATCCTTTATTATCAAACAAATGTATTCTACACATTAATCTTAGCCTGAAAGTTGATGAGTGAATCTTCATGTATCACAGTTGCTAAGGAATTGAATCTGTACTCTGCAGTCAAAACAAAACACTATGGACTGACACAAAGCTTAAAATCTAGCACTTACATGGAGTAGTGATTGGATGAAAAATGACACAGTGTTTTTAAAGTGCAGATGTGTGAACTTCAGATGAGGCCATATCTGCACACAAAGCACTGCCAAAATGAAGAGTATAGTCTGCTGAAAATTCTGCTGACCTTACCATGTGCAAAGAGCTGCCAGCTTTTGAG